TCCTGTCTCAAAAAGACAAAACAATAAAATAAATACATATAAGAGAATCTACACTTCAGTCCAGCATTTTGTTATTTTTCTCCTCCTTTCATTCTCCCTGGTCACTGGCCTTGAAGTCAGGCTCTTCTCTCGCTGAACTACGTCCCCAGGCTTTTCCTTTCTTTATGTTGAGCTATGTTCTGTTTCCCCTCTGGCTCTGAGCTTATACTCTGCCTGCCTTGGGCTCCTGAGTAGGTAGGAGAGCAGACCTGCACCCTCAGCCTCTGGCTTCATTCCAAGCTTTCTGTGCTAACTGGTTCATCTGTATTTTCCTTATTTCAAGGTCTATTTTGTTAATGTGTGCTTTGATAGGACATTACCCATTATCTCTATGTTTCCGGTATGTAATAGGGTTCTCTCATTTGGCACTGAAGTTTCCTTTTTTCACTGAAGTTTTTTTTTTTTTTTTTTAATATCTCTAGTTTTGTACAGAATTTTAAATCCTCTGCACTTTGCTATATTTGATTAAGAATATTTTTAAATATACTCCCTAGTTTACCTTGTTTTTTTTTTTTAATGTGTTAATACAGGGTCTCACTACATAGATCCGACTCATAGTGATCCTCCTGTTTTCAGCCTCCCAAGCACTGGGATTACAGGCCCGCGCCACCACATCCAGTCTCAGTCACATCTCAGCATGCCCTGGGGGTGGGGCCAGCACAGCTCGCCAGGGATTGGTCCCCAGTCCCTGCTCTTGTCTAAGCAGGCACTTTAGTTCACTGAGCTATTTGGCTGGCCCTATCATGTTTTTTGATTGAGAGAATTGTCTTGTTTGAGAATTACATATGACCCACTGACAATTTTAAATGATTGAAAATTAATTTCTGCATTGCAAATTAAAACTATTTTGAGATTCCACCTTACTCCAGAAAGAATGGCTATCATCTAGAAATCAACCAAAAATCATACCAAGTGGGCATGGTGGCACACATCTGTAATTCTAGCACTCAGGAGGCTAAGGCAGGAGAATCTTCACAAGTTTGAGGCCAGCTTCAGTATACAGTGAGTTTGAGGCCAATCTAACTGTTTATTGATACCCTGTCTCAAGGAACAAATAACAAATGCTGGCAAGGCTGCGAGTGAAAAGGAACCCTTCTACATTGTTGGTGGGAATACAGACTAGTACAACCACTATGGAAATCAGTATGGAGATGCCTCAAAAGCTAAAAATAGAGGGTCTGGGGAGATAGCTCAGTGGTCCAAGTGAGTGCCTGGCAAAAGCAAGGATGCAGGTTTCATCCCTGGTACCGCAAGCCGTGTGGCCCCGGAATCCTGGGCATGGTGGCGCACACCTGTAATTCCAGTACTGGGGAGGCTGAGACAGGAGGATCACTATGAGTCTGAGCTGTGTAGCAAGACCTTGTACCAAATAAATAAATAAATTTTAAAAAGGTAAAAATAGACATTCCATTCCCTTCAGCAATTCTCCTTGTAGGGACCTTCCTAAAAGAGTTAAAGGTATCATATTACAGTGACCCATTTATGCCCATGTTTATAGTGGAACAACTCCTAATAGCTAGATCTTAGAAGTGGGCTATATGTCCACCAACGGACGAGTGGGTAGAAAGACATTTATACACAAGGAGAAGTACCGCTCCACCATGCAGAAGGATACACTCTCATCATTTGTAGGAAAATGGAAGTACTGAGAGACCATAATGTTAAATGCTATGAACCAGACACACAAGCTTAACTATCTCATGGCTTGTCTTATATGAGAAACCCAAAATCTACCTAAAAAGCAAGATAAAAGAAAATAGAAAATAGGGAGCTGGCTCTTAGTAAGTGAGGATAGGACCAAGAAATACAGGGAGTGAGGAGAGGGAGGGGAGGAGATGAAAAGGTAATTAAGATGTAATAATAATATGTACATGTAGCAGCTCCCCAAAAGAATAAGTTCTCATCATGCGCTGCAAGCATGTACCAATAAAACTTAAAATGAAAAATTTTGCTTGATAATACATTTTGTAGTATGAACTGTGGGTGGTACTATAAAATACACAGTATGGTCTGCTCCTTTATCTGAGGGCTCCACATCCATGGAGTTCATGCAGACTCAATTTTTCCTACTCTCATAGTGCACATCACTTTTGGCACTAGATTTGTGGGATGTTTTTCCCCATATACCAAATGAGCAGGGCTGGGGATACAGCTCAGCGGCATAAGCACCTGCCTGGCAAGCGCAAGGTCCTGAGTTAAAAAAAAAAAAAAAGTAAAAAGATTGTGTTCCAAATAAGCAATAAATTTGCACCTGACACTATTCTAGGCAGCTATGTTAGAGAGAAATTAGTTAGGGACTGGGTCCTTCAGGGAGTCAGCCCAAAAACAAAGGCACCAAAATCGTGGCTGGAGTGGCATCTGAAGAAGGGCAGGCCTCAAGATGAAGATGCAGTGATCCAGTAAGCCCAGCTGGGCGTGAGCCACCCTGATGGGTGACCAGAGCTCTGGACCCATCCCTTCCCCCACAAGCCTTCTTTATTTCCATGTACCCTTGCTACACGACTCCTTTCCCTACTGGATCGATATGAGCTAAGCAGCTACACTTCTAATCCTATAGGTTGATAGTAGTTGGCCCATCTTGTACCCACATTCTGATTTTGTGTATAAATTACCCCCGACAAAGGGCCACAGGGACCACCTCGTTTGGGACCTATCCTGGAAAGGTAAGAGCGATTCTTCACCTTCTTTCCAATAAAACTCTCCTGATTAGCTCCTTTGGTTAGTGACTTCATTCCTCAATGTTGTAGGACCATGAAGTTGGCAGCCTTGACATCCAGCAGGTCATGAGTTATGTTACTCCTATGTCAACACCAGTTGAGTGTTCTGATATATATATATATATATATATATATATATATATATATATGGTCTTAAATAGCTTTGTTTTGTAGTTTTGCATGAGGCAACACTTTATTCCATAAGGTAGAATTTCTTTTTCAGTTCTAGAGATTGAATCTAGGGTCTCTTGCATGCTAGACAAACTCTCCCACCCTAAGACCTAAGCTAAAATAGTTGGAGGAAAGGACCAAATAGTTTCCAAAGTTGAAGGCCAAAGGACTCAGTAAAGATCCAGGCAGAGTTCAAGAATCTGCTGATACACTCTGAGGCAGTTACATTATAGGTCAGAGAAGTCACTACATGTCTTTGTACAATGCAGGGCATGTATTAGGGAAGGAGAAACCCAGCATAGGTCTGGCCAAAGGCCAAGCCACTCCTACCTGCAGTCAACACTCACCCCTGGACTTCACCCCCATTTAACCTGCTGCCCAGGTTAACCTCAGGCCCACATCAGCCTAGATAACTGGGGGGACTTACGTGAAGCAGAATAGCAGCGTTAAGGACTGCTCTGCGAATGGCTGTGCAGAATTTCTCCTTTAGCTTGTTACAAAAACAAGGGAGAAAGAGGCAAAGTGAAGGCTTATCTCATTGAACAAACAAAACAAAACAAAACAAATAAACAAGAAAAGGATCCCTTCTAAAGATTTTTTTAGATGGATAAATGGCACCTAGAGATCTGGGCAAATGATAATCAGATACTAGAAGTGACCCAACTGGGATTACAGAGCACACCTCCCTATGCCTCTGGTGTTTTAGTCCAGTGTACATGCTGCAGCAGGATTTCCAGCTAATATTACCCCGAAGGGCCACAATTTTTTTTTTCCATTTATGTATTTGGTACAGGGTCTCTATACAACTCACGCTTGTAGCGCTCCTCCTGTTTTCAGCCTCCCCAGCGCTGGGATTACAGGCGTGCACCACAGTGCCCGGCACCACACCCAACTTGCAGATATGATTTTTCATGCTCTTGAATGCAGGTGTACAAAATGGAGGTGGGTATTATAACTACAATACTTTAAAATAGGCTAAAAAATTTACAGTGAATCATTCCCAACACAATATGCTGGTCTATTTAAGTAAGACCTAATGAGAAGAATTTTGTCCAGGTGTGGTGGAATTCTGCCCAGGTGGGATTATGCCTGTAATCACAGCTGTTCAGGAGTCTGAAGAAGGAATGTGACAAATCTGAGGCCATCCCGGGCAATAATCGAGACCCTGTTAAAGGGTTTTTGATGTTGTGTTTTTATGTATTTGGTACAGGGCATCACTATGCAGCTCATACTCGTAGTAATCCTCCTGTTTTCAGCCTCCTAGGCCTGGAATTACAGGCGAGTGCCGCCATGCCCTGTCCCTGTGCTTGCCTAAGGAGGCACTTAGTCCACTGAACTATTTCTCTGGCCCTAATGATAGGCTTTTTAAATGTCGCAATAAAGAGGTAGGAAAGATAAAAGAAGCCTTTATTAACTCCGAAGACACGGAGAGGACAGAAGGGGATGGAGGGCAGCTGGGGCAGGCAAATCCTCTGGCCGGAGACAATGAAAGCTGAGGCTTTTGTGGCCCTTTGCCAGGGGTGGCTGGAGGGGGAGGTGTAGAAATATCTGAGGAGCTGACTGGGGTCGTTCCCGTGGTGGGGGAAAGGTGGGAGGAAATGGCACCCTGCACTGGATTGGAGAAGAAGTCGGGAGGTGGTTTCTGAGAAGCTAAACTGTTGTTTTAAGGGCTGCAGCCATAGTAGATGGTCACCATATTCAGCAATTCCTACTAGGGCCAGAACCTATCAGTCAGTAGGTAAAAAAGAAAGAAAGAAAAAAAGAAAAAAAAAAAAACACAAAAAGCAAAAGAACCACTGCGACGTAGTAGTACAGAGCACTGGGTCCAGATTTCGAGGTTTTAGGGGTGAGGCACGCAGCATGCCACCGCAGGGTCACGGGGCTCGGGGGCCTTCTTCAACTGTCAGCGCCCGGCCTCCCCATTAAATCAGCCATCACCTAACTTTTAGGGGACCGCCCGAAGAACCGTGGGAAACGCGGTCTAACAGCTCAGTTACGTCACAGAGCCCGTGCGGCCCCAACAATCGCCATATTTTACCGGAAATGCCGGGTCTTGCCCCGCCCACGGCTGCTGCGCAGGTTGAGCGCTGACGGCGAGCCGCCAGCTTGCGTCCCGAGACGCCGGACCTTAGTGGCGGCGGGACCAGCGGCCCATGGATGAGGGCGGACCTTGTCGGGTTTTGGCGCCACGGAGAGACACTGAGAGGTAAAGAGAGAGCCTGTAGGGCCGGCTCGGGAGGCTGCGGGGTTGGAAGGCCCCCGAGGAGGAGCCTGGGCCGCCGGATTTTGTAGTGGCGAGGCGTCCTGTCGGGTGACAAATGGAGCGTTGTTGGCCCGCGCGAAAAGAAAGCCAGAAGTTTATTTGGGGTTAGAAAAGTATAATAATCTTGGGACACGTTGGTCATCTGGGGGCACAACGCCATGTTAGAGCATCTCCGTGGTGACCTTGGCAGAGCTCCAAAGGACGGAGACCAGAGCCGGGCTGGGCAGCGGCGTGAGCGCGGGGTCCGCGAGTGCCCTGCGGGAGAGGGCCCCTCGGCTGTGCGTCCCTGACCGCTTGCTCACGGGCGGCTGGTGCTCCGGGTGTCCAGAGCGTGGTGGCTGACGTCCAGACCTTCGCGGGGTTGCTCTGCCCCTCAGCGAGCTGCTGCTTCCCGCATCGCTGTGACGTCACTGCCGCCTGGGAGCCGAGGGGATGACAGCCTGCGACCCTGAAGGCCAGCCGTGAGCTTGATGGATCCTGAACAGCCAGCAGATTAGAAGAGCCGCACTCGGGGTGTGCCTGTGCTGGACCTGCGGGCCAGCAACTTGAGGCGGAGTGGCTCAGGAGGATGCGGGTGGCTCCAGCCAATAGGCTTGTGGCCCGGAGGGAGGGCTGCGCTCCCCCTGAAGAGTTCCAGTGTGGGGCGGGTGAATCCTGCGCCGGCGCGGCTCCCTTGGTCTCCAGTTTGAGTTTTCCTGCACAGACCCGCACATAACTTGCAGCTCTTCAACTTTGGACTGGCGCTGCATCCTTGATCTCTCTTGTTCTATGGATTCCTTCTTGGACTGAATAGCTACTGGGTGCTGTGGCTCTCTAGCGCTTAGGCGGCCCCATCGTGGACTCCCCCACTTCTGACACTGTAAGCCTACACAGTAAATGTCCTTACGTTGTTACGTAATACTTTCTGTTGATTCTGTTCCTGAAGAGAACCCTGAAACACAGTCTTAAGGGATGTCCCCAATTTCCCAGAGAAATGATTGTGTGTGTGGATGGAGTCTTGGGATGTGGCAGTTGTTACCTGTGAGCTTCTTAGTGTCTCTTGAATGACATTTTTGCTTACTGCACTGTGTAGCCTAATAATATTGCTGTTTGAGTTTACAGAAGTTTCTTTTTTTTTTTTTTTTTAAAGTCAGGGTTTCTTTTATTTAATACATTCTAATCAGATAGTAACAGCAGTAAATAAACACTTGGAAAAACAGGCATATATTCCCCTACATCTAGAAGAAAACTAAGTCAAAAGTAATGGTAGAAGGGAGATAACAGCTGACATCCATAGTTAAACAATTCAAGGACAACTTGAAAATTTCTAAAGTCATTTCAAAAAAAAAAATCAATGGCAATAGTTTGGGACACAGCTACTTCAAAGGTTGAAACATCTACATTGGTTTCTACAAACAGGGATTAAATTGCACCTGTATAGCATAACATTCTTGTCATTAGCCTTAAAGGAAAAGAGAAAATCTTTTCCATTTGCACCAGTTTGAAATATTTCTGAATTAAGGCTCCCTTAGAGTAGATTACTACAGTACTCATTCATTGGAGAGAGTTCATACGTGTAGTAAAAAGACAAATACAGGATTTCATGGTCACTTGTTTTGGTTGGTTTGGTTAATTGCATAAAAGGAGGGATAAATACAAGCATAGTCTTTTTAACAAAATTCCTAGGTACACAAGGATGCAAAATATAAAACATCCCAGAACAGACTGACCAGCAGGCATTCAGCACTGAAGTCATGCCTGCGTCAGCCTGGTTTCTCTCTTAAGTACTGAGCTCTTTACTACCTATGGGTGCTTGGAGCTTGGAGCTTGGAGCTTGGAGTTTGGAGCTTGGAGCTTGGAGCTTAGACCTTTGACCTAATGCAAAGGAACTTCAGAAAGGCAAGGTGTTCTGATAAAATGCTCCCTCAGCCTTTACTTTGGGACATTTTATTTTTTGAATTTAAATGGGCCAACCGGTGTTGGTTAACCTTAGGAAAGGAAGCATTGCTCAGGTAGGCGGAACTATCTAAGGGAACTTTAAATACCTAGCTAACGCTTCACGGGTTTAAATTAGACTGACTTCAGCTGCTCTTAGCGAGGATTCTGTGCAGTGTTTCAGGGCAGTCACTCAAGTTTTGGTTCTCTTTTACATAGCTGCATTTGGAGATACTCTAAATGAGGCATGTTTAGAAAAAGAGAAACACTTACACCTGGAATTTATACTCTTCCAAGTAATCTTTCAGTCTTGTTGGTAAAGGCAGGCCCCAGACCGTCCCGGTGCATTTGTTAATGGTGAGTCGGCAGAGATGCTGCAGGGAGGGTGCGGACGTGTACAGCGGTTTGGTCAAGTAAAGGTGAACGGTCCCGTTTCGGGGGGCTTCTGGACCCGTCCGCTTATCCTTGCACATCTGCACATAGTAGTCAATCAGGTGAACCACGCTGTCAAATTGTTTAAGCTTGGACTTGACACATATGATAGAATCCAGCCTGAACTTCCCATCTTGGTACTCAATTCGCAGATTGGTTGGTCCAGCTGATGTTTTAACAGAGATTGTTAGTAGGTAGTCTGAATGTGAACTGTCTCTAATCAAGAAAGTTTCTTCGGGAGCTTCTTTTAATTTCTCTTTGGCTTCATTAACAGTCATACTTCCCCAGTACCATCCTGTGTAGCCGAGCTCGCGCAGGGCCTTCGCCAGACGCGCCGCCTCCGGGGACGGCTCCTCCGCCGACCCGGCGGTCCCCCACTGGCTGTGTGTCCCTTCCGCACCATTCCCGGAGGGCTCAAGGCACCGCAGGGTCATGGGAAAACGGGTCACCACAGCAAAGACAGGTGGTTGCCCAAGCTGGAGTCAGAGAGGAGCTCGAGTCCTTCTTGGAAGTCAGACGGAACACCAAATCGGGTGCCTGTGGGGTGTCCGAAATGGTGGAGCAGTAGGGGATGGGGAGCTACGGGCTTTCTCTCCCCAAGTCCTGGAGGACTGATGGTAAAGTCCCCGGCAGATGCGGTCGCCCACAGATTGCCTGCCGCGGCCGCCGGCGCTCTGGGCTCCGGGGATCCTGAGGCTGCACGCCCGAGGCCCGGCGGGCGCTGTCCGCGGCGCTGGCGGCGGCGGAGGGCGGGCGGGGAGGCTCATGCTTCAGGGGAGCCCCAGGCCCGCGAGTCGCGGCGGCGAGACTTGGCAAGAGTTAAGCGCTGTCCCCGCGGCCGGGTGTGCGCGCGACTCCCCGGCCGCCGCGCCGCCCGCGCCCAGAAGTTTCTTATACATGTGCTGCAGCAGGCTGTTGGTATCAGTTGAAAGCTCTGAGAGGTTCCCCATAGCTGACTTACCAACAAACTTGATGTTACTTGATGTCTTATGACAATTCCATTGTCCTGTTATTAGAACTAGCCAAAGGATTTCTGGTTTGTAGGAAAGATGAAAAGATTCTATTTAAAGTAGAAAAATGACTTGACCAGTGTCACCAGATATGTAGTTATCAGGTGCACCTTCACTTTTTCGCTGTTTTTTGGTTTTTTTTTTTTTTCCGGAACTGGGGATTGAACTCAGGCCCTTGCGCTTGCCAGGGAAGCACTTATTCCACTGAGGCATCTCCCTGGCCCCCTTTTTCGCTGTTTTCTGTGTTGAGCCTTTCAGTGGGTTTCTTAGCTGTTGAGATCACTTGGGTGATACTGAAGTCCACTTAGGAACATTGTTTTCGTATTTCATCATTGTTTGTTTTGCTCTGCACTTTGTAGTGCTGTATTTCAAACCCTGAGTATCGCACTTGATAAGCAAATGTACAGAGTTATAACCCCCAGCCCTAGAACACTGCATTAAAATATGTTGTCCTAATCATCCCTGGTCCTTGTTATCCCCAGTATTTTCTGTGCATTATGTGACCTGAAAGGATGAGTAACAGGTATGTTTCCCACTTTCTTTGAGTCATGTGACTTTAGCCACACTGCGCTCCTTCCTTTGGCTATTTATTGTTCTTTTCAATACTTTAAAAGTTCTTATTGTTTTTAGTGTGTTTGGAAGTTATTTTTTTCTCACTTCCCCAGTATGTTAAAAATATTGAATTTTAAGTCTTAGAGATCAGACTTACTATGTAACAAATCATCATAACGATGCTGTTTTAAATTATTACTTAAGGGAACATTAATTATTGGTAAATCAGTTGAAAGTGTATGGTTCTATTAATGTAGGAATCAGTTTTCTGCCTAATCTCTATTGATGACTCAACTTTTGGGTATGGTGGAGAGTCCTCTGCCTTCCTTTTTTTTTTTTTTTCTTCTGAGACAGGGTCTAACTCTAGTCCAGAATATTCTTGATCTCTATGTAGCCTAGCTTGGTCTTGAACTTGTGATCTCCCTGCCTTGGTTTCTTAGGTGGGAATGAGACTTGTGCCACCACCCTTGGCTTTTGTTGTTCTTTCTTATATAAGAGACTGTAGTTCTACAGAATTTTTATTTTTTGTTTTTATTTTTCAGGAGGTACTAGGGCTTAAACTTAGAGCTATATCCATACTGGTTAGGTACTTGACCACTGAAGATGCATCCTCAGCTGTTAACATGTGGGACATTTTAAGGAGGACAGTCTAGGACCTCAGCTGCCTGTTCTCTCATGACTTTCCCACGTTTGTCTTCTCTCAGCTATCCATCCAGAGTCCTCTGTGTGTTTCCAAGAGGAACAGACAATGAGGAAATCTCCGGTGAGTTGCTTGTTTATTCCCAACTTTGTTTTCTGTTGCATGTTGACAGTTTTATGGTGTCCATGAACTAAAATGGAATTGTAGAAATGTGTGAAATGCAGCATATGGAAGTGGGCATAAGTAAGGTAAAGTTGGCATGGAGATAAAGACTTGTGTCTGTGGTGAGCACAAATGTCTGTGGCCTTTCTGATGCCATGATAAATAACAGACACATTTGGTACACGATACTCAAATTCTCCGAACTTCTCCTGGTGAACAGATAAGCAGCAGCCCCTCTTCTCCTCAGCCCAGATGAACAGTGGACATAATATACAGATGCTGGCTGGCCCTAGGGTACAAGAGCCCAGTTTCCTTTCTAAGAGAAAAGGGACAAAGAGCTAAAGATAAGTCAAGTGTGAAGATCTGCATTCTCTTTTTTTCCTTACTATAAAAATGAGGATTCTGTTTTTCTTCTCTGTTCCTTACTATAAAAAAGATAGCTTGCCCATGTCTTCAGGTAAAATAGTGTTTTGAGGCAACTGGGCCGCTCCCATCTCCTTGGAGTGAGCTTTGAATAAATAACCTATTCCTTTTTACCAAAGTACATGACTTCCTTTGATTTAGTCAAGAGGGAGCAAATGAACCCGAATATTTGACCTCTGAGTTCGGTTGGCCAGTGACAGGGGAACATCTTTGCTATTTGCTGGTTTCATTCCTTTTGGAGACTTGACAGCAGCATTGTTGAGTGATATGATAATTTTGTTGAATTGTATGAGGAACCTGAATGCAGTTTTCTATATTGACTGTACAAGTGTTTCCTTCGCTGCAACAGTGTGTAAAGGCTTCCTTTTATCCACATCCTCCTCAGCACTTCGTATCCTTTGTTTATGGATAACAGTCATCAACTAGAGTGAGTTGTATTCATTGTGATTTGGATTTGCATTTCCCGATAGGAATTTATTTTACTTTTTTTTGAGATAGTCTCACTACACAGTTCAGGCTGGCCTTGTCCTCACTTTTGTAGCCCCCAGGCTGGTCTCAAACTCAGAGAGATCCTCCTGGTTCAACCTCCTAAGTACTGGGATTACAGGTATATGCCATCACACCTAGTTCCAGGGTACACAGTAGGCCCCATGGTATACCTGGGCATCTGTAGCCCAGGCAGTGCGCTCCGGGGATCTGGGGCTAGGATCTTATAGCATGTGGGGCTGGGGATTGAACTCAGGTCCTTGTACTTGCCAGGTAGGTGCTTATGCCTCTGAGCTATCTCTCCAGCCTCTTAAAATTCTTTTTATATCACTTTTTACCATTTGTGTGTCTTCTTTAAAGACATATGTAAAGTTAAGTCCATTGACCCAATTTAAAATCAAGTGGGGCAAGGTATGGTGGTGCACACCTGTGATCCCAGCACTTACGAGACTGAGGCAGGAGGATCATTGGAGTTCGAGACCACCCTGGACTACAAAGTGAACTCAAGGCCAGTTTAAACTGCATAGCAAGACCCTATCTCAAAAAAAAATAAAAATGAAAATTATATATATATATATATATATACAATGGTTATTATTATTTATTATTTTCCTATGAAGTTGTTTGAGATCTTTACATACTGTAATTATTGCCCCTGGAAATTTTTAGGTCAATTCCTATAGATTTTTTTTCCTATAAATTTTTATTTAGAAGATCGTACCATTTTTGGATAAAGTCAGTCATTTTCTCCTTCCTAACATGAAATACACTTTATTTCATTTTCTTACGTTATTGTGTTGGGTGATGCATCTACTTCAGTATGACCTAAATGAATCATGGAAATGTGTGGCCTTCCTGGGCTATGTAGTGAGTTTGATGCCAGCCTAAACTACATAGTGACACCTTGTTTAAAAAACACAACAAAAAAACCCAAACAAATAAATAAGTAAAGATTATGTGAATATGAAGGGTTTACCCTCTGTGGGGCCAAATTGCTAGCTGTTCTGGGCTACATGTGGCCCAAGGCTATAGGTAGGGCAGGGGTATATAGCACATGGCCCACTGAGGGACTCTGTGTCTCAACTAAAGCAGTTTATAGGCTTTTTACTTGGAGAGGGTGGGAGTACCTCAGCTTGCCAGCAAGCTGAACTATATTTTCTCCTTCCTTGCTTCCTTTACATTGACATTTCTTCTACATTATTAGTGTGGCAGGTATTCATACTTATTTTTTCTTCATCGCAGATCATAGGCACCCTTGAAGGGTCACAATTTTATTTACTTTAAAAAAAAAAAAAAAAGCCAGCGCAGCTCCTTTCATCTGCATCCAATTCTTTCTTTCTTTCTTTCTTTCTTTCTTTCTTTCTTTCTTTCTTTCTTTGTGTATGTGTGTGGCCAGCTCAGCCCACCAGGGGGCGGGGCTGGCTGGCATGTGGTGCTGGGGGATTGAACCGCGGTCCCTGTGCTTTGCTAAGCTTGTTCTAAGTAGGTGCTTTAGACCACTGAGCCATCTCACCAGCCCTTTCTTTACATTTTAATTCCTAACAATAATGGTGGATTTAGATTTTTAAGGTAGGGCTGGAGATACAGCTCAGCAGTACAGCAAGTGTTAGGTCTTGGGTTCAATTCTCGGTACCAAAATAAAAGAAAAAATTTGTAAGGTAAACTTTATAAAACTGTATTTAGTAGCAAATAAATATTTCTAGCCAGTCGTGGTGGCTCATGCCTATAATCTCAGCACGCAGGAGGCTGAGGAAGGAGGATTGTTGCAAGTTGGGAGACCAACCTGAGCTCAAGGCCACCCTGAACTCTATAGCGAGAACCTGTCGCAAAAAGAGAGACAGAGGCAAGTGCAGGTATCTGGTGTGATCCCGGGTACCCCAGGCCACACCAGTCCCGCCTCAGGGCACACTGAGCCAGCCAGTGAGATCCGGTGTGGTGGCTCATGCCTGTAATCCCTGCGCTGGGGAGGCTGAAGGCAGGAGGATCACTATGAGTGAGATCTGCATGGTGAGACCCTGTACTAAATACACACATACACCAATAAATAAATAAATAAGGAAGGAAGGAAGGAAGGAAAGAAAGAAAGAAAAAATATTTCTAATGGAGATGCTTTGTGATTTTTCACTACTGTACAAAGCAAGCTGTGTATTACAGACAGCTCCTCCTACTCACTCAAAGCCCGACTTTGTGATCGCTCTTGTGACCAGGGCTGAGCAGTGAGAAATGCTGTGTTACAGGTGTTGGTGTCCTTTGATGATGTTTTTGTGAGCTTCACACGGGAGGAGTGGCAGGTCCTGGACAATGCTCAGCGGGCCCTGTACGGGGACGTGATGCTGGAGACCTACCGCAGCCTGGTGCTGTTGGGTGAGTGAAACCCCCGTTACTGTCTGGAACAAGCTCCTCCTCTGCACATATGTGAGCACTAGTAAACTTTAACATTATTAGTTGTAATCTTCTAGTCCATGACAAATGTGACTTCATAAAAAGGGCATATTTGGCATATTTATTACATAGCTATTGAGACTAAGCTGTTTTCATTCTGCACAGAACCTTTACAGCAATTTCTGAAGTACAGTATTTCCCATTGACAGGACAGTGCATCACCAAACCTGAGGTGATCTTTAAGCTGGAGCAAGGAGTAGAGCCATGGACGGGAGGAGAACCCCACAATCAGAGTCCTCCAGGTCAGTGAGTGCATACTGAGCAGGGAGACCGAAAAGAGGGAAGCTGAGCAGATGCTGGCTGGGCTCAGATGTTGTACACTAACAGTTTCCCTAAGTCTCAGACCTCAGGGTACCTGGTGTGCACGCATCAGGCATGGAGGTCACTGATGCAATCTGCCCACCTTTTATTTCGCTGAATATCTTCTTCAATATACCACAAATGTAATCCCTGCCCATCCTCCTTTCAGACATTTGTCTTTGCTTCCTCTGTATTCTCATTTCTTCTTCTCCTCTGTATCATAGACTCTTTTTTTTTTTAATTTTATTTATTTATATGTGTGTGTGTGTGTGTGTGTGTGTGTGGCCAGCTCAGCCCACCAGGGGGCGGGGCTGGCTGGCATGCGGTGCTGGGGAATCGAACCATGGTCTCTGTGCTTTGCTGAGCTTGTTCTAAGTAGGTGCTCCAGACCACTGAGCCATCTCACCAGCCCAATAGACTCTTTGTTGATATCAGATATTTGCTGATAAATGTACTTATTCTTCAGTACAACCACCACTCCAACCCCTGAGGTTGAACCCATTGTCACTCTGACCCATTGTTATTCCTAGTCCTTTTTAGTTTGTGTTTTGTAACCAAATACAAGAGTCTCACTGAGTTACTCAGGGTGGCCATAAATTTGTGATTCTCCTGCCTCACCCTGTTGAGTAGCTGCAAGTGACCTTATAAGGAGCCTTTTCTTTTGCTTTGTTTTTGCAGTAGTGCTGGAGATTGTGAGGCCTCCCACATGTAGGTGAGCACTCTACCACTTCCCTTACCCCTAGCCCTAGAGCAGGCTTTAGATACTGGAAACTGTATCCTTGTGTTTGTGAAGCATGCAGTCAGAAACTGTGAAAGTGAGCAGCAGGATCCAGCACAGAAGTGTAAGAAGGGTGACTTCGCAACGTGTTGTCAGGTTCTTAGTCACAAGGAAAAATGTAAAGGCTCTGTGTGAAGGAGTTCAGATTTCTGATGGGAAATTGATTTTGCATTCACTGTGAGAATGATAAATGTACAGAGGATTCCATTTCTGTGAAGGCAGGAGATAGTATTGTTCAGAGGCAGTAAATGAACAAGTATAGATATGTGTAAAAGGGGTGTCAGGGCTGTTGATCTCAGAAGGTGCCAGAAAAATACTTTTCAGATGTTGGGCTCTAAAGAATTTGTCTATATTGGGGCCAGGGAGATGGCTCAGTGGAATAAGCACTTCCCTGGCAAGCACAAGGGCCTGAGTTCAATCCCTGGTTCCACCAAAGGGGGGAAAAAAAAGAATTTGTCCATAGTGATGGATAAGTTTCATGCACTTATGGTTCTGAGAATCAGAAGTAGGTTAAGTGAGGAATTTGGAAGACACTGTCTTTGTTTATAGTTGAAAGAAGAGAATTTTAAAAAGTTCCATGTGGCTACAGTGCTTCCCCAGGGAAGAATGAAAATGGAACAATAGATGCAAAGCCCCATTCATTTATCTTGTGCGGGCCTAAGTGTCAGGCAGTTGGACCTCACTAATATGCTACAACTACCTGGTCTGGATATTCTTATTTTCAAAGCAGAGTAAGGACAGTAATACCAGAGTATGCTGCCTGCACTGTTACAAGAATAAGGTACTAAAGAACAGGGACAAAAATGGAAGGGAGAAATGCTCAGCACAAATGTGTAGTGATGGAACAGTTAAATAACAAAATTGTTTTTCAGGAAGTAAAGCAACCTAAAATCATTTTAAGATTCTAAACTCCATCAGTGTAATTTATTAAAGTTCACAGGAAGAAAAACTATACTTGTTTGTACCCAGTAACCATTATTATTTTTCTGAAATCTGCTTTTAAACTAAAAAAACTCCCCTTCACTGTACATGAACATTTTATTCTGAATATGTAGATATGGCTAATATGTCCTTATTTTTTCTCATTTTAGATGTCCAGGAAGTGGATTACACAATTAAGTCCAGCCACAACAGTGAAGGCAGATGCTTGTGGCAAGTTGTTCTTACCACCAATAACACATCAGTTGAGGAGAGAGTCAGATTTGGATTTGAGCTTAAAGTGCTTGAGTCAAATTTTGGTCTGAGCTCAAACCACTGGATTATAAATCCTGGAAACTCCTCAGCAGTGAAGCATCTCCTTAATGAGCCTGCTGAGCTGGGTGCTGGAGAGGAACTGGGCCAGTGTCATCTAACTGGGAAATCCCTGAGATGTGATGAGCATTTTCGTCAGTATTCCAAGATTCTGACTGGGCAGCAGGATTTTCAATCTGGTACACAATGGAAAGCCTTCACCAAGGAGGCAAAATTATTAAAAGAATGTATTACACAAGAGAAGGGTCCTATGGGACAGGCCTGCTGGGATCATATTGAATCTGGGGAAGCCTGTGAGAAGCCTGCTCTCATTGCTACAGTAGGAGGAAAACCTCTATATAAAAACTGTGATCTCACTACACATCAGACACACATAAGGGAGAAATCCTGTGAATCTAGCAAATGTGAGAAAGACCTCATTGTACAACAGAAGAAATATTCAGAGAAAGATCCCTGTGCATTTGATCAATGTGAGAAATCCTCCTACCGTAGGTCATACATAACTGTGCAGCAGAGTTTTTCTAGTGAGGAAAAGCTCTATGAATGTGATGAATGTGAAGAAGCCTTTCAGAGTAAGTCAGGCCTCATGAAGCACAAGGGTATTCATACTTGGGGGAAGTTATATGCATGTAAGGAATGTGGGAAGTCTTTTTGCCGCAAGTCAGGTCTCACTATTCATGAGAAAATTCACAGTGGAGAGAAGCCCTATCAATGTACTAAATGTACAATAGCCTTTCGCAAGAAGTCACAACTCCGGAGGCATTGGCGAAGAATTCACACAGAGGAGAAAACCCATGAATGTAATGAATGTGGAAAAGTCTTTTACAGGTTGTCACAACTTATAGATCATCAGCGTGTTCACACAGGTGAGAAGCCCTATGAATGTGGTCAGTGTGGGAAATCTTTTGGGAAGAAGATGTACCTGACAAAGCATCAGCATAGGCACACCGGTGAGAAGCCCTATAAATGTAGTCACTGTGGAAAATCTTACAGCCAGAAGATACACCTCACTCAACATGAGACAGTCCATACCAGGGAGAAACCTTATGAATGCAATAAGTGTGGGAAATTCTTTGGCCAGAAGACTTATCTCATTAAACATCAGATGACACACACTGAGGAGAAGCCCTATGGATGTGATCAATGTGGAAAATTCTTTAGTCAGAAGATTTACCTGACTAACCATAAGGTGACACACATTGTAGAGAAACCCTATAAATGTAGTGACTGTGGGAAATCCTTTGCTTATAAGTCATACCTCACAAAACATCTGTTGACACATACTGGGGAAAAACCCTATGGATGTGATCAATGTGGAAAATTCTTCAGTCAGAAGACTTATCTCATGAACCATAAAGTGACACATATTATGGAGAAACCCTATAAATGTAATGACTGTGGGAAATCCTTTGCTTATAAATCATACCTCACTAAACATCTGTTGATACACACTGGGGAGAAACCCTATGGATGTAACCAGTGTGGAAAAACTTTTCGTCAGATTTCATACCTTAGCATACATGAGAGAACTAAACATGGGAAAGAAGCTCCTGTGAATGTGCAAAAAATTTCTCCAGTCACATCTCCACAAACAGAGAAGTAACAGTGGAAAAATCTTGCATGGCAGGTACTAGCTGTGCGTCCTCAAACCATTTACTTTTTTCTCGCACACAGCCCACATTTCCTAGCCTTGCCATAGTATGGTTTTCAGTTGACTAATTTCTGCCTGGGTAATGCCTACAACATGTGATGAACATTATATATGATTATGATAACAGAAAGATATTGACCATGCAGTCCTCTGAGATTTTTCATATTTTATGAGACTAAAATGCTACTAACCCTCAGGATGGCCTTGAAGTAAAAATGGGACATGGTCACTGTGACTTCAGATAGATGAAGTGAATAAAGATCTTTCTGTCTTTGCCTCAGCATTTTATCTTTGTTACACAAATGAGAAATAATCTTTTCTGCTGTTTTATGCATGATCTGTTTGCATTATAGCACCACTGGCTCATGGTTACTCATTCACTTTATCAATATGAGAACTTTCTGAGGGAAGTTATCAGTTTTGTTCATTACAAAATTTACAAACCATCATACCTAACAAGATTATTAAGATTCCCTATTTATTGACTGGGACTGTAACTCAAATTCATACACACATAATTTCACACAGGGCATAAATAAAAGCATATATAACAGTGTATAGGGTAATATGTTATATTTTCACCTTCTGGTGTCTGATTTAGAAACCAACTGTATAAACCAGCATATTCAGTGAATTTTCTGTGATTGTGTAAGAAAGTAATGTTTTGCAGGAGGTAAGTGAGACCAAAGAAATATTGAATTGAGAAAATGACTAAATGATAGTACTTTAAAAACAAAGGATAAGAGGCAGGCATCATGGTACACAACTTGGGAGGCTGAGGCTGGAGGACCACCATGACTTAAGAGGTCAACCTGAACTACATAGGGAGACTGTTTGGGGTTTTGCAAGGGAGACTATATAGGATGCATAATGTATAGTATTTTATAATTATCACTGAGTCATACGGAGAGTACAAGTTTGCCAGTGGGATGAAGGATCTAAGCTAACAGTTTGAGGGATTTGCACTGGAGCTAGGAAACTACTTGAAAGTAGAAAACAAAGCTCCTTTGAAAGGTATCGTACTCATCAGCAATGGCAAAGTCCCAATCTGATGATGGGAACTGAGTCCATATTGGGGAAGCCAGCATTACAAGCTTCTCCAGGAGATTGAACAGTGTACCATCTTCCCCTCCTGAGCTAGGAAGCCATGCTCAGAGTAAAGACCAGAGCTCTGCCAATGTATATCAGCCATTTTCAGTGACAACATGTCTTGAGCTCCTGAGAACAACTGAGGTTCCTCACGAAATTCAGGGCAACAGTTCCTTAACAACCTCTTCTCCAGTCCTCTTTAAGTTTGTTGACATTAATCTTCAGGTGGTCCTCTCAGACCCAGCACCATGCTGGTTCAGTTTAGTTGTGCATTACAAGTTGATCACTAGTTACCCACCACAGAGACCCTCTCTCAGAAACAACAAAAAGATGAGAAACTAATAGATCAATGAAGCATATTTGCTGAATAGCCCCTTAATTTCATTTTCCCCCAAATGTATAGAATTATGTCATAATATAGTAATTATCAAAGATGTAGTGTTTACAGATGTAATTTACAGGTATAACTAGAAATCATGGGGCCGGAGAGATGGCTTAGTGGAATAAGCACGTCCCTGGCAAGTGCAAGGGCCTGAGTTCAATCCCCTGTTCTGCCAAAAATAAAAGAAAAAAAAAATCATACCTACAAGCAGGATATAAAGTTCTTGTTTTTGAGACAGGGTCTCACTAGTTCAGATTGGCCTTGAACTTGCAGTTATCCTCTTGCTTCAGCCTCTGATAAAGTCTTAAAGTTATATAGTGATAGAAAACCACATATAGAAAAATGTAAATCTATATATCACCTGTAATCTTCAATTGGAATTAGGTCAGCATAGGTCTACAGCGATTGGGGAAATTTAGATGTACATGGTAGCCCAAACACACATTAAAGCAAAAAGTATACAAGGAAGTGAAATAACCATTATAGAAATAAAAACAAAACATTAAATAATACTTGAAACCTACTAAGAATAATAGAGGACTAAAAATTAGAGCTGCAATGTAGCTCAATGCAAAGGCTCTTAGTACGTTCCTCATATGTGTGCCCCCTCAAGATTCTAGTGGCAGTTAGAAAACAGAAAAATGTATAAATATGCAATGTCAATAATAACACTACAGCAGCCCGTGGTTGCCAGAGCCTTGCTGAACTGCATCATGCCCTCGACACCATCATGACACCCTTGGTGAGCCCTGACCTGCTTCCTCCAACACTGAGGGAGCCACACAGCCCCTGACAGTTTTGGCAACCTCTGACCTGTTCCTGCCAAACCCACCATCACTACAGCCTTGCTGAGCTCAGGGCTGTATCCCCACTGTGGTAGAATGTACCCTAAGCTCTGGACAGCTTTGGAAACCTTGGTGAGTCTACCCCCTCATCATCATAGGTGCCTAGCTGACCAGTTCCCCAACTCCTACCCTGGCCGCTGAACCCAGGTTAACTTTGGGAGCTTCAAAAATGTCAGAATGAAGGAGCAAAGGCAATCTCAGACCTCCACCTAAGCAAGAACACATCCAGGGGACAAGGACATAGAACTGGGAAGTCACAAACCTCAAATTTCTGAAATGATAGCAACTGAAGCAAAGAATTCCATTAGGCTATAGAAGAAATTGGATCACAATCTCAAAAATGACAAGAGAATTGCTCAGCATACCCACAGAAGACATGGAGAACTGGGTGTGTTGGCACAGGCCTGTGAACCCACTGCTTGGGAGGTTGGGCTACAAAAGTGAGCACAAAGCCAGCCCAAGTTGTATAGCGATGCTCCGCTCTGTCTAAAAGGAAAAAGGAAAAAGACACATAAATAGAGGAAAATAGAAAAATGAGGGAAACATTGAACAATACAGAAAAGAATTAGAATACATGAAGCAGATTCAAGCAGATATCCAGAAAATTAATAATTCCATTGAAAGCTGGCAAAACTATTTAAATGAAATTGAAGATAGACTTTCAGACCCTGAAGAGAGCATCACAGCTAGTAATTGTGAAAGGAAAGATCTCTTAAAAATAGGGAACCAGCAAATAATTCAACAGCTGCAAGATGATGCAAAGAAAAACAAGATGAGACTGATAGGCGTCAACTAAGCAGGCATGACAACACAAATGACAAAAAAGATATTGCAAAAGAGGTAGCAGAAAATTTCCCAAACATGGGAAAAGAATCTGACATGCACAGAAGTGAGGCATATAGAACTCCAATTAGCCATAACCAAAATGAATCTACAACCAGACACATAATCAAGAGCCTTGAGATTTAGCAAAAGATTAAATGTCATTAAAAGCTGTCTGAGAAAAGAAATCACATAATGGAAAGCCCATCAGAATCACAGCAGGTTTCTCAACCCAAACTAGTAAGTTCAAGAAGAGCTTGGAGAAGAGCATTTCAGGTCCTGAAAAAAAGCTTTCAACCAAGATTGATGTACACTATGAAACTATCAGAATTAATGGAGAAATGAGATACTTCCATGATACCAACTGAAGAAATTCATGTCTGCCAAACCATCCCTACAATGGGTACTGTCATATTCTAGAAAGAGACAAAAATAACCACAAATTCAGGAACAGGGAAAGCAATTAAACAGGGAAAGTAGGAAACCAATGGCAGGAAAGTAATATGACAAAGATTAGCCAATACATACTAGTTATAACCATCAGTGTAAATGGCTTCAGTTCAATCAAAAGAAGTAAATTGGTGCAGTGGATCAAGAAACAAAATCCAAGTGCAGGGATGAGGTTCGATCCCCACCTCTGGCCCTGGTGTGCTGAGCCAGCCACTGAGATGGTGTGGTGGTGCCCACCTGTAATCCCAGTGTTGTGGGGGCTGAGAACAGGAGGATCACTATGAGCTGGGTAGTGAGACCCTATACCAAATATATATTTTTTAAAAAGAAAATCCAACAATACTGTATACATAAAATGCATTTAACTCAAAATTAATAAACAAAGCCAAAGGATGGAGAGGAACCCAGAAAAAGGCAGGGGTGGCTTTTCTTGTCACTGACAATGTGAGCTTCAAGAATGATCTAAAAAGATAAAGAAGGTCACTACATAATTTTTAGGGGAAAACTGCAATAAGAAATAGTAATCATAAATATATACACCCAATATATAAGACAAATTTTAACAGATGTGCAAAGTCAAAATAGCTATAACACAATTGTAAGGGACTTTAACACTTTATTGTCACAAAGAGATCAACTAGGCAAAAATTCGACAAAGAAATAACTAATTCAAACTTGTGAAGAAATGGACTTCGTAGACCTTTATAGAGTGCTTCACCCAAAAAATCAGAACACACAATTTTAGCTGCACATGGGACTTTCTCCAAAGTGGATCATATACTAGCACATAGAACATGCTTAATTAAATGCAAAGGAATTGATATTATCCCGTCCATATTATTTTCCAGTACAATGAGACTGGAAATTATTGACAAAAATCACAAAACTCCATAAAGACATGGAAATTAACACCCTTCTGAACATTCAATGGGTCACAGATTAAATTAAAGAATACAATCATACAAAAATGCAGGTACAGCTTACAGGAACCTGTGGGACATGATGAAAGCAGTCTTGATGAGGGAAATTTATAGTGGTGAATTCTCGTATCAGGAAAATATAACAGGCCCAAATAGACAACATTATGCTCCACCTTAAGCTTTTTGAAAAATAAGAGCAAGTCAAATCCAAAGAAAGCAGGAAATTATAAAGATCAGAGCAGAAATTAATGCAATGTAGATAGACAAGCTGCCACGCCAAGTGACGAGCGACTACTGCGTTAGGAGCAATGGCAGGTAGGGCGTTGGCGTCTCGGGCTCTGCTCGGAGTTTGGGGAATGAGGGCCATGCAAACCCGAGGCTTCAGCTCTGACAAGGATCGTGAGAGTTCTTCCGGCTCGATCCGAGACGCCGGTGGGGCCTTCTCGAAGAGAGAGCAGGCTGAAGAGGAGCGCTTCTTCCGACAGAAGACTAAAGAACAACTAGCAGCCTTGAAGAAACATCACGAAGATGAAATCTATCATCATAAAAAGGCAATTGAACGTATGGAGAAAGAAATTGAACGACATAAGTAAAAGATCAAACAACTAACTCATGATTAAATGCACATGTTCCCCACAGAATGGCGTCTATCTTTGCCCACTTCTATATAGACATAATCCTGGTCTAATTACTATTTGGTCTGTATGCTGCAAACATAATAAATTGTCATCAGTGAAAAAAAAAGAAATTAATGCAATGTAGATAAAAAACAGTACAAAGAATTAATGAACTGAAGATTTGGTTATTTAATTTATTTATTTATGTATTGCCAAAACCGGGGATTGAACTCAGGCCCTTGCACTTGCCAGGGAAGCGCTTAGTCTACTGAGCCATCTCCCAGGCCCAAGATTTGGTTATTTAAAAGAATAAATAAAACTGATAAACTCTTAGCCTGAAAAAAAAAAATCAAATTCAAGCAATAAAGAATGAAAAGAGGAAAATCACTACAGATTTTATAGAAATTCAAAATCAAAAATTTTTATTCTCAAAGAATGGAAAGCACAAAAGAAATGGACAGATTCCTAGATACATATGGATTATGAAAGATGAATGAAGACAGAAGTCTTTTTTTTCGGAACCGGATCCCTGTGCTTTGCTAAGCTTGTTCTAAGTACGTGCTTTAGACCACTAAGCCATCTCACCAGCCCCACAGAAGTCTTAAAGAGCCCAATATAAGTCAATGAAATTGAAGATGTAATTGAAAACTTAGTGATCAAGAAAAGCCTAGGTCCTGATAGATTCACAGCTACAGCTGAATTCTACAAGAAATTTAGAGGAGATTTAATGTCAGTTCTTCTCAAATTCTTCAATGAAATTGAAAGGGAAATAATTCTTCCAAACATTCCTGGAGGCAACTATTAATCTGATACCAAAACCAGAGAAAGACCCAACCCCCCAAACATCTACAGGTCAATTTCCCTAATGGACACAGATGCAAAAATCCTCAATAAAACACCACCAGAACAAATGCAGCAAGTCATCAAGAAGATTACACAACATGACCAAGGGGGATTCATCCCAGGAATGTGGGGGTCTGTCAATGTGCACAAATCATTAAATTAATAATCCACATCAATTTAGGCAAGGACAAAAGTCACACCATCCTCTCAATAGATACATAAAAAAGCTTTTGATGAAGCTCAACATTCATAAAAATCATACAGATAATTGGAATGGATGGTCTTTTACCTCAACCTCTTAAAAGCCATCTATGACAAACCAATATCCAATATCATACTAAATGAACAAAACTTTCATTTGAAAATTATGAACAAGAGAAGGATGTCCACTGTCACAACTCCTATTCAGTATAGCTCTGGAAACATTAGCCAGCCCAATTCAACAGAGAGTAAAGGAATAATGACTTGAAAGGAAGAAGGGAAATCATTTGCAGGTGACATGATACTCTACATAGAAGACCCCAAAAACTTTACCAAAAGACTTGTAGGTTTACTAACCCAATTTAGTAGAATAACAGGATGCAAAATCAACACTCAAAAGTCGACAGCATTTCTATACACAATGAATGCACTGAAACAGAAATTAGGGAAACAGCACCTTTCACAATAACATCCCCTCAAATGAAATACTGAGGAATCAGTTTCACAAAGGAAGTGAAAGATTTGTACAGTGAAAATTATGATACTCTGAGGGAAGAGATTGAAGAGGATTTCAGAAAATGGAAGGGCCAGTGAGACAGCTCAGTGGACTAAATGCCTGCCTAGGCAAGCACAGGGACCTGGGTTCGACCCCCAGCACCACAAGCCATGCCAGCCCTGCCTCCAGCACACTGAATCGGCCACCAAATCCAGGCATGGTGGAGCACGCCTGTAATCCCAGCACTCATATATTCCTTGTTCATGGATAGGAAGAACCAACATTGTGAAAATGGACATATTACCCAAATTGTTACACAGATTGAATACAATCTTGATTAAAATACCATTAATATACTTCACAGATCTAGAGAAAACATTCATAAAATACATCTGCAACCAGAAGAGGCCTAGACTAGCAAAAGCAATCCTGGGCAACAAAGGAGGCAGGAGGATTCATAATCCCTGACTTGAAATTATACTGCAAAGCTACTGTGCTAAAATTAACATGGTACTAGCAAAAACAAAATCAAAACCAAAACAAAACAGACATGAGGGTCAATGGCACAGATTAGAAGATGAGCCAGAACTACAAATACTCGTCCACCTTATCTTTAACAAAGGGATGAAACATGTTCAATGGAAGAAAGATAATCTCTTTAATAAAAGGTGTTAGAAAAACTGACTTTCCATATGCTGAAGCTTAATTGTAGATCTATCTGTATCACCATGCACTAAACTACAGTCAAAACAGATCAAAGATGTAAGTATTCAAACAGAAATATTAAATCTAGTGGAGGAGAAAGTAGGTAGAAATCTTGAAGACATAGGAATAGGTAGAGTTTGTGATCAAAAACTAAACTTCACAAGAAATACTTCAAAGAATCAACAACTGCGAGCTCATTTTTTTTTTTTTAAAACCAGGGATTGAGGGGCTGGTGAGATGGCTCAGTGGTCTAAAGCACCTACTTAGAACAAGCTAAGCACAGGGACTGCGGTTCAATCCCCCAGCACCACATGCCAGCTAGCCCCACCCCCTGGTGGGCTGAGCTGGCCACACACACACACACACACAAAATAAATAAGTAAATAAATAAATAAAACAAATAAAATTTAAAAAATAAATAAATAAATAAATAAATAAAACCAGGGATTGAACTCAGGCCCTTGCGCTTGCCAGGGAAGTGCTTATTCTACTGAGCCATCTCCCTGGCTCCTGAGCTCATCTTTTTGAAAAGTTTCTGCATGTCAAAATCACCAACAGTAAAAAGAAAACCCATGAATTGGGAAAAAAATTATAGCCAACTGTCCCTTACACAAAGAAAGGACTTCTATCTAGACTACCTAAAGAATTAAAAAAAGAAATGGGAATCCGGGGCTGTTCCCGCCCTTAAACCAGGCGTGGTGGTGCATACCTGTAATCCCAGCACTGGCAGTGACTGAGACAGGAGGATCATTATGCGTCTGGGCTGTGTAGCAAGACCCTGTACCAAATAAATAAATAAATAAATAAAATATATTTTAAAAAAAGGTTCAGCCAAACAGCTCAGGGGGCTAAAGCACCTGCTTAGGCAGAGTGCAGCAGCCAGGGTTCAATCCCTGGTGTGCTGTGCCAACCCCACCTGTGGGGCACAATGAGAAGCGACTGAGGCTGGGCATGGTATGCACGCCTGTAATCCCAGCACTTGGGAAGCTGAGAATCACTATGAGTCCAATCTACATAATGAGACCTTGTAGACCCTGTACCCTGTAAACCCTGTACTAAGAAAAAAAAAAAAAAAAGGAAATAGGACCCCCCAATTCAAAACCCAATAAAAAAATTGGCATCTGAGATCAATATGTACTTCACAGATAAAAAATACAAATGACAAATATATGAAATGTTCAACGTTATTGGTCATTTGAGAGATGTAGATTGAAACACCAAGATTCCATCTCACCCCAAAAAGTGGCTATCACCAAGAAGTCAACTAAGAACAAATGCTGGAGCGGCTGTGGGGAAAAAACCCTTCTCCACTGTCAGTGGGAGTGTGGACTGGTACAACCACTGTGGAAATCAGTGTTGAGAGTCCTCAAAAAAACTAGGATTAGGTGTCCCATTCAACCCAGATATTTCCTTTCTGGGTATATTTCCAGAAGAACTGAAAACATAATACCACAGCAGTATATATGTAACCATCTTAATACTATAATTTGCCATAGCTAAGTCTTGGAACCAACTCAAATGCCCATCAGCTGAGGAATAAATAAAAAAGATCTATTTTTTATACAATGGAGTATTTAGTCACCTATTTAAAAAAAAAATAAATTTGAGGCTTTTATAGGTAAATAGATGCAACTAGAGACCATAATCATAAGTCAAAAAAATTAGACCCACATGAGTAAATATTGTATTGTCTCCCTAGTGTAAGAGTCTGAAAGAACAAATAAAATCTGAAAGGTACAATAGATACTGTAAAATGGAAAGTACATTGGGGTTAAGGGAATGGAGAAAAGGAAGGGAAAAAGAAATATATATGTATATACACAGGATATATTGCATAGTTGTACTGCTGATTTCTGCTAGTCTACTGAAAGGAGTAGTTAAATACTTAACTATTTTTCCTTTTTATTATTTATTTATTTATTATATTTTAGTAAGGGTCTACAGGATCTCACTACTAGATCGGACTCGTAGTGATTTGCCTGTGTTCAGCCTTCCAAGAGCTGGGATTACAGGCGTGCCACCATGCCCAGTCTCAATCTCAGTCTCAGCACGCCCTAGGGACAGGGCCTGCACAGCATGCTAGACATGGAACCTCTGACCCCTGCATCTGCCTAAGCAGGTGCTTTAATCAGCTGAGCTATTTGGCTTGCTCCCTTTTTAATTTTTATAAAGTTTTTATGACTAATTTTGCAGGTTTATATCTGATAATCTCATCAACTGATTTGAAGACTACATGCAATATCAGAACCATTATTAAATTTTTATTTTGTTTAGAGAAATTTAGTATCATTTGTAATTTTTTTAACCTCTTCCAAAATAAAAACCAGGCATGGTGGCACATGCCTGTAATCCCAGTACTTGGGAAGTTGAGGTAGGAGGATGGCTGTGAGTTTGAGATCAGCCTGGGGACGATAAGAGTGAGCACAAGGTCAGCTGGAACTGCATAGTGAGACCCTGTCTCAAAAACAAACAAACAAACAAATAGTAGAGGCCCCCTGGGGTGGGGAGGCCCCAGGCTAGGAGTAAATTCCCTGGAACTCCCTTAGTCCCTCCCCTTCCTGACCCCTAGTGTGAAAAATGGGGCCCTGGCCCAGCCCCAGTCATGCTTGAGGCCCTGGGTGTGAAGGCAGGTGTCTGGGATGGCCATGTGAGAGTGGAGCAGAACAGAGGGAGGGGTAGCCCTGCGGGTTATGGAAGACTTGGGCCCCAGCAGCAGCTGACTAGCTCACAGAAGACCCTGATGCTGGAATTGAAATCCGTGCAGGAGGAACCAGTGGAGGGCTTCCAGATCTTCCTGATGGATGAGTCTGACCTCTACAGCTGGGAGGTAGCCATGTTTGGACCCCCAACACCCTCTATGAAGGTAGCTACTTC